TTTTTTTTTTTTTTTAATACTACAATTTACCCCAATGCTCCCCTCCCACTTCCTTCTGGTATTTCCCTCCATCCTTCCCTCCAGGCACTCCTGCCCCCTGAGGTGTCTCCCTGTGCATAAACAGCCTTTCTTTCTCCTATGATTTTTCTCTCCAGGGAGTGTGTCTACTTCGGGTAAATGTTCAGCTCATATGCCTGTCTTACGTTTGGCTGGAAGCCACAGGAGTGGATTCAGTTCTAGACCTGAAGGACAGCTAGGGGCCCGTAGTCTCAGTGGTTCCACCAGGCTCTATCAGATCAGCAAACCTGGCCCTCTGCCCCCCTTTTTTTTTTTCTCCCAATGATTTTGAGTTTTGTTCCATATTGTTCTCCCTCTCTATCCAGGATCTCCTATATAGATCTCCCTCTAAGTGGTTGACAGTGGTAGCCGGACACCATCTAGTTCTTCTGGTCTCATAGTTGTATGTGTTGCAGATCACATGGTGTACCTTCCCTTGGACTAATTGTTTCCGTGAATCTTTGGTTTTCTTCATTCTTCTTTGCTCTGGACTCATTTAGCAGTGTTTTACAATTTTTATTGTATGTCTTTCATGTCCCTGGGTGAATTTATTCCTAATTACATCATTCTTTAGATGTTACTGAACATGGAGTTTTTTTTTTCTTAATCTCATTTTGAGTTTTCTCATTGCTGATGTATAGAAACAGTTTTTCTTGTGTAATAATTTTAAAGTAACTTAGTGAAATCTGTCAAAATTTTGTGAGTTTTGCTTTTTGTGTAACTCTGGTAGTATAGTGCCTAAGGCACTTGACTGCTAACCAGAAGGCTGGCGGTTCAAACCCACCAGCCACTCCTCGGAAGGAAGGTTAGGCAGTCTACTTCTGTGGTGATACTGTCTCGGAAACCCAAGGAGAGGTCGCTGTGAGTTTCGTCTGACTCAACGGCACACAACAATAACAACTTTCCACCTGTCTGTGAGAGAGCACATTTGTCCCAGTATCACTTTGCCTTTTCTTTCTTCACTGACTTAAAAGTAGTTGTTTTTGTAACCTAATTATCAGATATGAAGTTTGTTTTTCTGGTATATATTATATTCCATTATTCTCTCTATCCCTACAGCCTCACAGGTCACATTAATTTCTGATAGAAATAAGTATTATGAGAAATAAGTGTTTATTTTCAGAAATGTTTTGGCTGATACTCTGGTTTTCATTTTTTTCAAGGTGAATTTTAGAATTGTTTTATCAATTTAAGTGTCTCCCATCCTTCCACGTCCAACTCCCAGCAAAAGAAAACAAAAATAAACCATTGGTCATTTTATTGACATTGCTTTAAAATGAAGAATTTTACAATTTGATGTTTCTCAATCAATTTGTACATTTCTTGATAAAGTTCATTCCTAGTCATTTGTATTATTTTTTTTTTTGGTATTTTGAAAGGAGTAATTTAAATTTTATGTTCTAATGAATTGTTGCTGGGATATGAAGTAGTTTTGCTATCTATATATTGATTTGTTTGATATTTTTTGGGGAGAGAGTTATCTCACCTACTGATATTTATCATTTTGTTTCTTTTGATATTTATACTTTATTTCATTTTACTCACTCACTTCCTGAACAAAGTTATTAATAATGAACATTTTTGTCTTGCATAGAACACTTCACATGTTAGAATTTTCTTTCTTAAATTGCTGAATTAAATTCTACTTGATTGGGATGTTCCATTATATAGCTCTAGATTTAAATTGTATAGGTGTCATTTAGTCTTTCTGAATCTCGTTCCTAAACACTTAGTGTGATGTTTGTTTATATATATATGAGGTATGTGCTATCTTAGGTTTTGGTAGCAGGATTAAGATAGTTTTATAAAATTTATAATTTTTATGGTTTCAAATGCTCTGGAACTATACAAACAAAATTAAATTATGTGTCTGTTCAAGGCTTAATAGAAGTCATGTAAAGTCCATCTGGACTCAGACTCTTATTATTTTTACAACTCTTTTGTTTTCTTTGATGTACTGATCTTATTCAGCTTCTGCTGAAAGTTAGTGTGATATCTAAAATTGTTAAGATTTTTTTTTTTTTAAACGGTAATCATACCCAGAAAGTATGCAGTGTGGAAATTAACTGGACTTTTTTTTAAAAAATATCATGATAACTGGATTAGATGTGTTCTTAGTATATATGCATTGATAATCCATTCAGACAGAATGATGAATGTTATTAAAGTGGCCACGTGATACCTGTTATCCAGGATTAATTTCTGTCCCAGCATTTTACTTTTAAAAATTTTGAACTTATAGAAAAGTTGCACAAGTGAAAATCTTTACTGTATTAATTATTTTCATTCTTAGGTGCATTTTATCTGGTGTTTGAATATATGGACCATGATCTGATGGGACTACTGGAATCTGGCTTAGTTCATTTTAATGAAAATCATATAAAGTCATTTATGAGACAGCTCATGGAAGGTCTGGATTATTGTCATAAGAAGAACTTTTTGCATAGAGATATTAAGTGTTCAAATATTCTTCTAAACAATAGGTATGTGTATGAGCTTGATATATATGTTTAAAATAGTGGTATGCCTTAGTTCTGTTAAATGGGTTTGAAATTTATTCATTAGCTTCAAACTGTTTTTTAACCTAATAATAGTATTATGGCTTGGACTACAAACTGTACGGCATCTAACAACAAATAACAACAAACGTCTAAAATTATGTTAAATATACTTTAGTTACGTTAATGTACAGTAATAGTTTGTAATGTACATAAAATAATACCAGATTGGCTTTCTTGTTCTGTCATTTTCTAGATATGTTTAGGGATCTTCTCATAATTAGTAATATGATTTCAGCTTAAGCTTAAGAATAGATTTTAGAATGTGTTTTCCAAAAAAGCAGACATGATTGTTTTAAAGTGAACTTTTTTTTGAAGTGTGTATACAGACATACGCAAACACAGAGACATATATTTAAAGCTTTTGTTAAATATTTCACTAACAGCGTTAAGTCGAATACTTACACTTCTGTTGTAATTGATAACATTTATTAGTTTAAGTAATGCCTACCTGATCCTGATTTTAATTAGTAGAAAATATTTTATGCACCTATCCTTTCTAAGAATTAGAAAGTTAAAGATAATTTTTAAGAAATGTGATTTAGTTCTTGAGCATTATTGAATTGAATAATTTTTATTTGCTACGTATTGATAGAAATTAACTAAATTTATTTTCATTGCAGTGTCCTTTTCTAAATATTAATTGAATAGTACTGAAATACTATTTATTAGTATATTACTATAGTTACAGTAATAGTGGTTATAATAATAACAACAGTACTAACATAACAATAACACTATTACAATAGTACTTGAGAACAGCTCCGGTGGCTTAATGCCTAAGGCATTTGACTGCTAACCAGAAGGCTGGAGGTTCAAACCCACCAGCCACTTCTCAGAAGGGAAGATTGGGCAATCTACTTCCATAGTGATATTGCCTCGGAAACCCAAGGAAGGGTTCTCTATGAGTCAGATTCAGCTCCATGGCAGTTTGAGTTTTAATAGTAATTGAAACTATCACTAACTTTTTTACCATATCTTTTCATGAATTATCTACCACTGCCTTTCCTTCTTATGTAGAACTTTATTGGTACTACAGTGTGATGAAAGTTAAAAATATGATCAAAGTTAGTTTATTTATACAGTTTATTTTTGATTAGTTCTAGGAATAGAGTATGAATGTGTATGATCAATTTAGAGTAGACTAATACTTTTTATTTGTCTTACTTCCACCAGAGGGCAGATAAAACTTGCAGATTTTGGACTTGCTCGATTATATAGCTCAGAAGAAAGGTAAGCGTACTGTCAAGTGACGATTACAAATATTAGAGTCCAATTTTAGAAGCAGTACTAAGAATATTTTATTGGTGTGTGTGTGCATGAATTTTTTTTTTAAGAGGGGAACTTTATTTTTCATAGGTAAATGTAGGAAACAATGAAACTTTTTAACCATATTGAATACATGTAAGTTCTTTTAAAATGTGCATTTTTAAATGTTTGTGAAATGAGTTTATGAATTTAAAAAAAATTATATATAAATTTCTAGTAAAACTTCAAATATTAAGATGCTGTTAATTTTTAGTGAAAACCCTTAGTGTGCACTTTTAGAATGGTATGTTTAAACTTATAAACTTTGTTTTTTTGCATTTTATTGTTTTAGGTGAAAGTTTACATACCACATTAGATTCTATTTTAATACTTTTTATACAGATTATTCTGTGCCGTTGGTTCCAGTTTTTACAATGTGCCAGCATTCTCATTATTTCCATTCTATTTGTTCCTTTTCCATTGATCTAGCTTCCCTGCCCCTCCTTGCATTTCTCATCATTGCTTTTCAGTAATGTTGACTATTTACTTTTTAAGGGTGTACATTACTCACAGGTGAGTGTTTATTTCGTAAGCAAGTCTGTTATTTAACTGAAGGGTGACCTTCAGAAATAGCTTGAATTTCAAGTTCAAAGGCTATCTTGGAGTGTTTGTGCGTTCCTCTAATCTTAATCCATCTAGTAGATCTGGTGGGCTTTATTAGGAATTTGAGTTTTGTTCTACATTTTTCTCCCCTTCTATCTGGGACCTTCTATTGTGTCCTAAATTTTGTTTTAATTATTATTTTAGACTTCAAGGTTTGTCTGTTATTTTTATATCTACAGTTTTGTTTTTTAAACTTTCTAGGGCCCTTTATCTAAACAAGCTATTGTAAGGAAGTTCAGTTTGTAAGACTGAACAAAATACAGCTTCTCTGACTAAAGTTGGGATGTGTATTCCACTTTCCACTTGACTCTTTTGTGCCTGATAGTAATGAAATATGACTTGTCTTATTTCAAATTAAAGAGCTCTGGTGGCATAGTGGATAAGACGTTTGGCTGCTATCCAGTAGGTCTGCAATTCACACCCACCAGTTGCTTTCCAAGAGGATGATGAGGCTATCTTTTTCTGGAAAGATTTACAGCCTTGGAAACGTAGGAAGGGTTGCTGTCAGTCAGAATTGACTCAGTGGCATTGGATTTGGTTTGTTTTTTTATTTCAAATTAATGTGGAATTTGAAAATAAAATATTTTTTGTGATAGACAAGGGGCTCCACTCTAATCCTTTGTTGTACCTGCTTTAGCCAGAGCTCTGGTAGCATAGTGTTTAAGGCACTTGACTGCTAACCAGAAAGCTGGTGGTTCAAATCCACCAGCCACTCCTTGGAAGGAAGGTTGGACAATCTACTTCCATAGTGATACACCTTGGAAACTCAAAGAGGGGTCGCTATGAGTCGAGTCTGACTCGATGGCATGTAACTTTATACTGAAAATGATTATTTTGTTTTAAGAACGGTTCCCGTGTGTTTAAATTTTTTTTTTCTTTTAACTGTTTGGAGCTTAGAAGTTTATTATTCTCATTTTGCATTTGAGAAAACCAAGACCTTGGTAGGGCTTGAGTGACTTTTTTTTTTTGTGATTTGGATGAAGATTTACTTGAGTGACTTTTAAGGTCAAAATAAAATATATTTGTTGGTTGAGCCAAATATGTGTAAGACAGGTTGAGCAATCTACTTTTTCAGTGATACTGCCTCGGATAGATACCCAAGGAGGGGTTGCTGTGAGTCGGGGCCGACTCGATGGCACATAACAACAACAGCAACAACGACAAGCATGTATAGTTTAAGGTTTTGATTCCCAGTTTTTCATTCTTTCCATTGTATTATAATAACGTCTCTTGGTAGAAATTGAAAAAAAAGTGTTTCATATGTATGTATTCGATCTGAAACTTCACTTGAAGCATAATTTTTGAATGACTAAATTTCACTTGCTGTTATTTTGGGTGATACTTTGATTAATTAAAGATTCTGTCTCTTTGCTGGTTAATTAAGATTTTGCTATAATTAGATCATCTTTTCTTAATATAAGTAGTATGTGTTTGTCCTGCTTGAATATAAATCCCTTCGTATTTTTGTGGTAGGCTTCAGTGGAGATGGAACACAGCTAATTACCATTTTCCATCTAATTTGTTCTTTTTATGCAGATATCCGTGGATATTCATTCATATTGGTATAGACTTGTTCCAGAAAACTGATTATAAAGCACAATTCTATATATTGGACCCTATTTTCCCATTGATGCTGTTTTAAAATGAAATGTTGAGTTCTACTGGAGTGCCCAAGGTCTGGAATATTTTCTAGGCCATGGTTCCCATTGCCCTGATTGATTGATAGTGGAATAGTTTTTCTGCTAAATGAAATTTATAAGATAAGAACTTAGGTGTATCATTTTGTTTTATGAGCAAGTATAATCTTTAAGAAGTAGAATTTAAAACTTTTTCCAGATTAAAATATGCAAAAAGGACACAGGCAGCCAGCATCTTCTGACCTCCTCCAACCTCACGAGGAGACAGAATCACCATTAGCAGCCCAAGGTTTATACCCATGAAGTCAGACATGTCACCAGCCTCCAGCCTTCTGACACCATGGCATTCTCCCATGCCACTCACTACTTCTCTGCTGGGTTTGATAATTTGTTGCACTGGCCACGCAGAACTCAAAGACAATAATCATGATTATAAGATTTATTAGGGAAGTAACAGATTATAATTCCGGTTCAGGAACACACTCCAGATACAGTTTTTAAATCACATAGCACCCCCTCAGCCATGCCCACAATCACAACTCTTTCAAGCCCTCTGCCTCTCCTGGCCTCTGCTTTGCTGGGGCAAGTATTACAAAGATCTCTTAGCTCTGCTGATAGGTGCACCCTAGTCTGCCAGCAAGCCTTCTGCCCAAAGGCACTTGGCTTTCTTGCTCCATGAGCCAGCAAGCCTACTATTGAGTCTCATGCTTCTTGGTTCTGCTGCTGCTGTCTCTTAGTTAGTCGTCTTTTTCAAGGAGGTCCAGCATAGTGACCAAGGACGCACTGCACTTTGCCACTGGCTGTTCTTTCTTAATGGCAGTGAGATCCCACTTTCTGCCTCTAGGAGGGCTCATTTTAAGCCTAGCAGAATGACAGAAATAACCAATCCCCTTGTTAGGGTTCCATATACCTTGTCAGCATGGTCCTCTTCCCACAGTGCTGTCATTATTTATATTACTTAGATTATTAACAAGCTATTCAATCCCCTTGGTAGACCAAAAACACCTTATATTTGCATAGTTCCACCCAGTCATCTGGTGGGAGTCACAAAGATGATGGCCAGAAGAGCCATACTAAGTAATTCACTGCATCACAGAATAATTTCAGTTTCCTTTAGTTTTGTTGGAGAAGTGGTTTAATTTAATGGAATGCCTTTAAAATACAGAAAATTTTTCTGTAACTCTTAACAACATGTCAATTTTAAAAGAAAACTCTCTCTCTTGCCAACTTCCTGTACTGTCCCAAATTTTTTAAAGATTTCTTAAAAAAAAAAAAAAAAGATTTTATTTATAGTCACACTGTTATTATAAGCAGAAGGAAAGGTAAGGGCTTACTGTAATATACTCATTCAGAAGTTAAATCAATTTGATATATTTTCTAGGAAAGTTGTTACTGCTGAATTATTACAACTTGTTATAACTGAAGTGTCTAAGAAATTGTGTGTTTCATATAGAGCAGATACAAGGTTATCACTTTAATAATATCTAAGTTTCTCTTATTGGGTTTCAGACAGGCTTTTTGAATTTGAGGAAAACTGGGTGGAATGATAGCTAGCATGTAGGAATTGTACATTGGGGGTACATGACCAGTATGGATCTCCTCTGTCACGGAAAAAAAAAAATAAGAGAACCATTGTATTAAAATTGTTGTTGTTGTTGTTATGTGCCGTCCAGTCGGACCTGACTCATCGCGACCCCTCCTTGGGTTGCCAAAGCAGTATCACTACGGAAGTAGATTGCCCAACCTTCCTTCTGAGGAGTGGCTGGTGAATTTGAACCGCTAGCCTTCTGGTTAGCAGTCAAGTGCCTTAAGCACTATGCTACCAGAGCTCCTAGGGTGGGGAAAAGATTCCTTTATACCTAGAATTCTTTTAAACCTATGAGTAGTTATAGGCATTGGTAACTATAGAACTTGAAGACAAACTTTCCCCCCATTTCTTTATTACTTGTTTATCTTTCATTGACTGTTTTTAGTCAAGTTTTCCTGAGACTTGGAGCCATGTGGTATTCCCTTCCATGTTTTTATTTTACCTAGTTATTGCTCCATTGCATTTCAAAAAGATGATGTATCATTTTCTCTTTGTGTGATTGTCTCGTATATATTTCGTATATATTTTTTTAAAATGTGCTTTTCACATAAGTTGAAAAATTATTTCATATTTTAGAGAAGAAACAATAACTTAGCCAATTTATTATTTTAATGCAAGGATATAAAATCCATAGGCCTTAATTGGGGAACTTTGGTTCTAGTTCTGACTAGAGCTGTTTAAACAGTTTGGAACCTTAGAAAATAATTTAATTTCTTTTGGCTGCATTAGTCTCAGCTTTAAGATGAGGGCTTTAGAATAAATGATGTCTGAAATCCTTATATGCAGAGTGTTGAAAAACACATCTCTTAATGGTTCTGAAGGAACCCTGGTAGCATAGTGCCTAAGGCACTTGACTGCTGACCAGAAGGCTGGTGGTTCAAACCCACCAGTCACTCCTCGGAAGGAAAGTTGGGTAATCTACTTCCGTAGTGATACTGCCTCGGAAACCCAAGGAGGGGTGGCTATGAGTCGGGTCCGACTCGATGGCACATAACAAAAACAACAACAACAAATGGTTCTAATACTTATGTGATGAAACAATAATAAAACAAATAAAAGTTTTTAAACAACTACTAAAAACTTACTTTATTTCTGTA